ATATATATATATATATATATATATATATATATATATATATATATATAAATAATGAACATCACAAGTAAAGGAATACAACATGACACAGATGCTAGCTCACTCTAGGTTAAAAGACAAAGAAATAAATGTGTTTTTAAATGCATTTTAAAAACTGAAAGTGTTGGGGCCTGCCTGATCTCCAGCTCCTTCCACAGTTTGGGAGTCAGCTGAAAAGGCTCGGACTCCTCTGGATTTATAAAAGGTTTTCGGGACGGCTAAAAGCATCTGGTCAGAGGATCTAAGAGCACGTGACGGCATGTAAAGGTGAAGCAGTTCAGACAAATAAGAGGGACTAAGATCGTTGGTTACGTACTGTAACCCCAGATTCTATGAGTAGAGGTGCAGCCCTTTAAGGCTATCGCTACTGGGTTTATCCCTTCGCGCGCAGCACTGAAAACTTTAGTCCGCACCAACTGGCTGTGTGGGCCCCACCCCCGGTCCGTATAAATGATGGTGAAACCGGGCAATCGGCTCCCAAATAGCTTTATTTCTTCAGCCATTTAGGAACCAGTGAGGTCCAGAGCTTAAAGGGCTGCGCCTCTACTCATAGAATCTGGGGTTACAGTACGTAACCAACGTTCTATTTCGTGTAGGCTCCGCCCTTTAAGGCTGTCGCTAGTGGGTTAAAGGTGAAGCAGGATGTAGTCTATGCCTCACTGGGTCCATTCAGACACAAACATGAAGCATCTGCTCGCACAAAAAAAATTCACTACTCAGCCTTCTGTGTGTGCTCCATGCGCAGGAGCACCCCGGAGAAAAAGGTCTCTGATGGGGAAAGAAGGCTGAAAAGCAGACCTGCTGGTGTGAACAGGAACAAGAGAGTTAAGAATTGTAACGGTGAAACCATGAACAGAGCAGGCCAACCGCTCTTCAAGATGAACGGATTAATAACAGTAAAACAGCAGGCATGAACGTGTGACTGATAATAAATATCTCACACTGCGACTGCATGCAGGCAGGTGTGAACTCAAAATGAGGCTCCATGAAACAAATAAAATCATTCTGTCAGAACCCTGAGAACAGAATGAGTCATGGAAAAGGCAGAAACATCACGTAGATAAAAACGGATAAATGAACACGGTGACAACTAAGCGGCCGCCATACAAATATCCTCCACTGCCATCCCTGCGCTTAACCCCCACCACCTGCCCCCCCCAAGCCCCTAGATGCAGCTCTGCTCCACTCAGAGGCTGTGGTCGCTCGGTGTCTGTGGTTGTGTCGAAGGACATCCGGTGTAAAAACAGTCACCAAGTCTTCATGTGAGTTAGTTCTCTGTGGAGACCCTGAAGAAGGAGCAGCCGAAAGAAGAATATTGTTGGTATTTTAATACTTCCCTGGTAACGTTGTATTCTCTACAACTTTACTATCTTGTGTGGTTCCTTGTGCATGTTCACTTGTATTGAAGCCCTGGCACAACAATTTCCTGCAGGATCAATAAAGTTCTTATCTTATCCCCAGTTCAGACTTTGAGACGGCTGCTGCTCGCCACGTGAGTAAACTGTTATTTTTACTTTCGCTAGCCGTCTTGCATCAGAGAAGACGTCATTCCAACGTCCCAGTAACGACGTAAACGGAACGCAGGAAAACGTATGCGAGACAGCAGCTCCCGGGTCTTCTCTGCGTCCTTGCTAAAGTCCTCTTTAAGTTGACTGTTCTGGTTCTGTCTGTGTGGGACACAAAGCACAGGAGCTGAGGTAAACTAGGGTTTTAGGGTCCCCCCCCCCCCCAGGTTCTCTTTAAAGCCTCATAGAGGACAGACCCACAGAACACAAGGGTAGCTTTCTCTCCGAGTCCCAGAGCCACTCCTTGACTAAATACGTGCTGGTTTCCTGGTTGAAACACACAATGGACATGATTTATTAGACGTGTGTGAGATACTTGTAATATTAAATCTACACCGCATGACGTGCAGCTAATTATATTAACTGTAACTACTTAATATTTTGCATAGCTTCATTATGTAGCTGTTTTTCTTTAGTTTTTATATCATTTGTTTTATTTACTTTTCAGTTTATATGCTTTTTATACGATTGTCTATTGTTGTCTGTGCCTGATCTGTGTTCTTTGTCTACAACATTTCTCTCTTGTGCTCAATGACACTGAATAAGTACGGATGCAGAAAAAAAAGATTTTTTTTTAAAGAATCTAGATTCTTAGTCCTGGTGATTCTGAATCGTTTCTAAAGGTCCATAAATCGATTTTAAAATGCATTTAAGTTTTATATTATTTCGGCTCTTACTCCCCACTCAGCCATGGTAGAATTGAGCCGTGCAGGCCACCGTACAGCAGCTAGTTAGCCAGCTCCCTTTATCTGAATGGAGTCTGCTAGCATGGAGGACAGCATGATTCAACCCGCTGCTTCGTCTTTAAAAATCAATTCAGTTCAATTAAATTCAAAACTACTTTATTAATCCCAGAGGGAAATTATATGTTGTGGTAACTCATCATCCTGGTTTCATTAAAGAGTTGTTCTAGATGCTGATGCTGTGGGCAGGAAGGACCTCTTCTCATTTCAGATCCTACAATGCTCCGGGGAAGACAGAGCCTCATAAGAGCACGGCTGTTTACAAGAAGCGTAAAATAAAATTGTGGGACAGTATTTTGGATACAAGACAAAATTCACGGAAGATGAAAGTGAAGCAGCCGACCAGTGAACTCTGCAACAAACTTCCAGCTGATTCTCCAAAGAGTTCCCTCCATCTCCTGCTGCATCACAAGGATTTATGAGCAGACAGCTCAGTGAAGGTGACGGGTTCAGGTTTATTTTAATACGATGGATCCAACGTACGTTATTCCTTCACGTAGCATTTATTTTTTAATAAAGCAGTTCCACAACTTCACCATGAAACAACAAACGTTAGAAGCTCTGATGCAGCTGCAGCTCAAAGGAAACTGTTATTTCTCATATTAAACTAAAACTTAGAGACAAGTGATAAAACAAACTTTATGTAATTTGTCTTTTTAACAGGTTGGACAGATGAGTCACATCTGGAGCCACTTCTAAATGATACAGTTTATTTTGGTTTATAAATTACAGTTTTTGTGCAAACTTGCACAGGTTTTTAAATTTGATGAAATATTTACTAAATATGAATCAATATGGTTAAGACTGAAGTCTGTATATTTCATATTAGGTTAAGTTTAGAAAATATAACAAATGTTAGAACAACATGGTTAAAATAACTGAAGTCTGTATTTCATGTAGAGTTAAAGGTTAATGTACTATGTCTGAAGTCTGTTTACTTTTATATTTATATATTTTGAATTATTTGTCTGTGATGGACTGGAGACCTGTTCAGGTGTCCCCCGCCTCTCACACAGTGATGGCTGATATGGGAACCAGTGACACCAGTGACTCGTAAAGGAAGAAGTGGATAAAGATGATGGATGAATTATTTGTTCCTAGATTATTTTTTATTTATTTTAGAAAAATTCAGGCAACTAAGCTAACCTAATACTGGTAATTTAAGTTACAGAATTTTATGCACTCCTATATTTTTCCTATTTTTGGTATAAAAATAAAATGAATTAAAAAGATTTGATACAGTAAGGAACCTAAAATGATTGTTTTAAATAAGTGTTCTATTTGTTTACATTGTTGTTTAATCTTTTCATCTTGTCATTTACATACACATTATAACTGAAACTAAATTTATGACCATTTCAATAGAAAAATCGTTTCTGAATCGAAAATCGATTTTGAATCGAATCGTGACAACAACAATCGGATCTCCAGACAAAGAGATTCGCACTCCTACTAACTGAGGTTGAATATCAGCACTTTCAAGCAGCTCAAATTATGATTAATGAATACATATTTCTGTACCAACAGTTTAAAAGTCGCTCTGCCTTAAAGATGTTCTGGAGTGTAAATTAAAAACGAGCTGCTCTTTGTGGAGATTTACCAAAAGCATGATTACATTTACTAACAAACGTTTTAAACTGAATCTCAGTTCACGTTTTCTAATAATTTCTCGTGTCCTGCAGTTTAGGCTGAGGACGACATGAGACCCTGTACGTTACACTCGTTTAAACAACAACTAAAGACATTTTCAACCACACTGAAAATCAAAACAATTAGCCGCGGGCGTTAGCTCCGATTAGCCTGACATGCTAAGTCATGGGCTCCAGCCGCAATGCATTGTGGTCTATTTGGACCGAAGGCCGCAGCTACGTACCGACTCCGAGCAGCTTCTCCGGTTTCCAGCTGACATCCAGCAGTCTGCGCTGACGGTCGATCACTTCTTCGTACCGCAGGATCGTCTTCTCAAACTCGGAGAAGATTTCTGAGGCAGCAGCGCTCAGTCTTTCACCGATGAACTCTCTCAGATGAAGAACCGAAGACATTTTTACTGAAATGACTCAAAGATTCTCATCAAACAGAACAATTAACTCGTCTTCCACTGGGATCAACGCGCAACTAAGAGGCGAGCATCGTTTCTGTCGTCACTTCCGCCGGAAGTCCCTCCGCGGGCCTGGATCGTTTCTGTCGCACCGCCCCCTGCTGGTGGCGCCTGCGCACTGCAGGCTGTAGAATGTCGGTTTATTTGGTTCAACACGTTAATAAACAAACAATTACAATAAATTAATAAATAATAAATAAATAAATTAATAATAATTAATTGATAATAAACAAACAAATAATTACAATAAATAATAAATAAATTGATAATAAATTAATTAATAAACAGAATCAGTTTATTATCGCCATGTCAATGAACGAGGTTCACAAACTAGGAATTTGCTTCGATATAAGGTGCGAATAGTAATAAAGTAAAATAAAGTAAAAATGAGAACATTACATAAGACATAAGACCTGTGTACACCCACAAATAAAGTAAAATTAAAAACATAACATAACCATATGTACACCCATACAATAGAAAACAATAAAAAAGCTTAGAGAACAGTACAGATGGAGTATTCAATTATAATACAGATGTAATGTGACCAAAGCAGAAGTTATGAGGTAGCATTATGAGTGTTCAGGAGTCCAACAGCAGAGGGGAAGAAACTGTTCTTATGGCGGGAGGTTCTGGTCCGAATGGACCGAAGCCTCCTGCCTGAGGGGAGTGGTTCAAACAGTCCGTGTGCAGGGTGAGCAGGGTCAGCTGTGATCCGACCTGCTCGCCTCACAGTCCTGGAGACGTACAGGTCGTGGAGGGATGGAAGGCTGCAGCCGATCACCTTCTCAGCTGAGTGCACAACGCGCTGCAGTCTCAACCTAATAATTAATTAATTAATAATAAACTTGGTGTGGTAGTAGCTGAGAGTAGTTCACAACACAAGCTCCAAGTCCTACTCATCATGAAAAAGGTCATCATTAAAACTATGAGTCAAATCTGAGTCTGTGTTGGGCCTTTTTTTGTGTTGGCTGATGTGTATTAGCGGTGGTGGCCATCTTAAATTGACTCCAGCAGTTAATCAGTTGTACGCGTTCATCTAATTTTTTTTTTTCAGAGCCTCAATGACATCACCTCATGACAAAAAGTCCAAAAATAATCAGTTGTAGATGTTCATACAATATTTGCTTTCTGAGAATTTCAACAACATTTATTCAGTGGTTCATGAGATATTTTGCTAACAGATCGATTTGATACCAGGAGTTCTTGGTTAGGTTTCAATCATCCAACCTTTATTTCTACAGGTGAGTCTCATTGAGCTTCAAGGACTCATTTACAAGGGAGACCTGATTTAAACAAAGAACACAGCTGAGGTACAGAGAACAATAGAATATCATATAAAATGAAAAAGTAAATAGAAGAAATTAAATAAAAACAAAACAAAAACAGCTGCATTATAAAGCGATGTAAAATACTAAAAACAGGAACATGTCTGCATCGGTTCTTGTCATGAACTTATCAGATGTTTGAAGTCACTTAGAGAGGTCAAAGGTCAAGAGCTTCAGATCTTTTTACAAGATATTCCAGGAAACAGGAGCGGAGTAGGAGAAGGTCCTTTTGTCTAGTTCAGTCCTCACTGAGGGAACACTGCAGGTAATGATGTCCTGAGAGCGCACGCTGTAGCTGCACTCACACAGAGACATGTAGGAGGAGATGTATGAAGGCAGCAGACCAGGAAGTGATTTAAAGATGAAAATGTACCAGTGGGAGAGTCTGTGTGGAGTTAATGGTGACCAGTTAACCAGTGAATACTGGGTGCAGTGGTGGGTACGGTAGTTACAGCCAGTTATGAATCTTAGTGCACCATGATAGACAGCATCCAACATCTGCAGCATCCAACATCTGACCTAGATTACCTATGTAGATTGTAAAGGGGGTGGGTCCCAAGACTGAACCTTGTGGGACACCATTGTTAACAGTATATCTGGAAGAAGTACCGTTATGTGGAACACAATGCCTCCGATCAGAGAGATTTTTTTTCATTCAACATTTATTTCTACAGGTTAATCCCATTGATCGTTGGGGACTCATTTACATGAGAGACCTGGTTTTAATAAAGAATGATGACAATAATGACAACAATAGACATCATAAAGAATGAATACAAATTGAGAATAACAAGTGAAAATAAAATGGTATTAATTAAAAATAAGTAACAAAAATCAGCTAGGTTGTAAGGCAATGTAGAAAACTACAAACAAGAACTAGAATTAGAGAACCAACCAATGGTGTGTTCTGAGAAACCGATTTCTGAGAGTTTATGACACAAGATGTTCTGATCCACAGTGTCAGAATCTTTAGACAGGTCTAAGAAA